CTTCTTCTCATCATTAAGACAGCTACTAAGTGACTCGGGAGGGCAGTGCGTAGAGTGGAGATGACAGACAAAGGGATGCAAGAGTGCGTCACACGACTCAGAACGAGGCACAATTTAAAACTTATTGTTTGTTTCTAAAATTTTCCATTTAACATTTTTGGACCATGGTTGACCATGGGTAACTGAAACCATGGAAAGCGAAACTACAGTTAAGGGGACTACTGTATTGCTAAAATTCTCAGAGGCAAGAGGAAGCTACACTGAGCCTCATGGAGGAATTCATATCAATTAAGTAATTATGTGAAAATTTTTAAAATTCCCTTAACTTTGTTGTCTCATGACTTGCTAGTGAACTAGTTGAAGAGTCAAAAGGTTTAGGAAAGCTTCTTGGAGAAGGCGCATGGTTGTAGAATGGCATTGTGAGATCCTGTGGCATTTGCCATATCACTTTACCAGTATAAAAATGGAGCAATGAAAAAGCTCAGAGAGAGATAATATTTGAGCAGAATCTTGAAGGAATAGAAGTTCAAGCTCCTCACAAACTTAAAGAGCTTTTAAAAAATGACTCCCTCTCCCCTCCCTCTCTGCTTCTCCGTGTGTGTGTGTGTGTGTGTGTGTGTGTGTTAATTATTTGGGAGTAAGTTACAGACATTCCCCTTTGCTTCTAACATAACCATAGTACTATTATCAAAATCAGGAAATTTAACACGACTTAATACTATTATCTAATTAGCAGACCTTATTCAAATTTTACCAATTATTATCCCAATGCAATTTATAGCAATTTATTCTTTCTAATCTAGGAGTCAATCCAGGATCACACACTACATTTAGTTTTTATGTCTCTTTAATCTTATTTAATCTGAAGTGGTTCCTCAGCCCATTTTGTCTTTAATAACATTGTCAGTTTTAAAGAAAACAAATCATTTATTTTGTAGAATATCCCTCAACTTGGGTTTGGCAGTTTCCTCATGATTAGATTCAGATTATGCATTTCTGGCAAGAATGCTGCAAAAGTGATGCTGTGTCCTCTCGGTGCATCATATCAACAGCACATGGCGTAAGGTTGTCCCATTATTCATCATTTTAACTTGAATTACTTGGTTAAGGTGGTGTCATTTGGGTATGATGGTGTTGCCAGATTTTTCCACTGTACAGTTTCGTGCAGAGGCAGAGCTGTGTAAAACAGCATGGCATGTTCGAGAACTAACAAATAATTCTCTGCAGGTACAGTATAGCATTTGTGGCGAGAGATGAGGATGGGAAACCCCAGAGGAACCAGATCACCGCGGGTCTTAAATGCACAGCTAGGGAGCTTGGACTTAGCCCCTAGACCAAAGGAGCCACCAGTGCGTTTGGGGAAGGACTCTGGTGTAGTAGTTTTGTGTCTTACTCGCCTCTCTGGTTTTGGGGTTTGGTTAGCTGCCCAGGCTGACATGGAGAATGGCAGATGCATGAGTTCCAGAGCAGAAACAGTACATGTGCTTTTCTGAGCAGATAGAACTCATTTAGGCTTGGACAGTAGGTGCAACAGAGCCGTTCCTGTGATCTTGCACCCAGAAGCCCTTTGTTTTTGTTTTTGTTTCTTTTTAACCAGTTCGCTACCACAAAGACTCTCTTCCCTGCTGAAAAACTTGCTTTTACCCAGTGTAGCATCAAGGAACAAGCACAGCTTTAGAATCAGAAGACCCACGTTGAAATCCCAGCTCTGTCAGCTCTTCCCTGAGCAACCTTGAACAAACCCCCTCACGTCTCTGAGCTTCCATTTCTTCATTTCTAAACTGCATAGGACAGTAACAATGTACATCTTGCAGGGTTGTTTTGAAGATCAAATGCACTAACATATGCGAGTACGTTAGAAGTCTTACAATATGATCCATGTTTTTGCTGTAACAGAGGTACTGTGACACATTGTATTGCTTCCCATCTTGACAGATTTTACCATCTGTGACTAAACCAGAACTATTGTTTACTTTATATTCTTCTTTAAATCACTGTTTTTAAAAAATCAGTTAATTTTCAAAGGGAATTTTTTATCACCTTAGTGAATGAGAAATCAGTATTTTTTAATGCACATTAAGATAAATGTACTGTTGGGCCGGCCGAGTAGCGCATTGGTTAAGAGCTGGCTTGGGATGCCAGAGGGCCCTAGTTCGGATCCCACATAGGGCCAGTGACACTGTGCCCTCTACAGCTAAGATGCTGAACAACAGCTCGACCTGGAGCTGGGTTGCTGTGAGTCGCTGGCGACGGCATAGGCTGCAGCTCCTGCTGCAGTGGGTTGCCATGGGCTACCATGTGTAGCCAGCAGCCAGCGTGAGCGGCCAGCAGCCAGCGTGAGCGGCCGTCCAGAAGCCGGTGACTGATCTGCCTCATCTGGGAAGAGCGCAATGATGGTGCCAACTTGGGCCAGTGAAGCAACGTCCTCCACAACTAGACTGAAGAACAAAAGGACAGCAACTTGTCTGTTCCCCTTTCCCCAATTCCCCAGCACTGTTCCCATGCCCCAATTCCCCAATATTAAAAAAAAGAGAGAGAGAGAGAGAGAGAGAGAGAGAGAGAGAGAGATAAATGTATTGCTAAGGGTTTATCCACGCACCACCTAAAATTGTTTCTCCAATGGGATGCACACACTGGGATAATACTAGCAGTGGAAAGAAGGCTGGTCTGTGTCCGGTAGTCTGGATTCCAACTCCTGATCCTGCTCTCTTGTTTCTGTCACCTTAAGCAAAATACTTCACGTCTCTGAGCCTTAGATTCATCTGTTCAGTGGAAGTGATGCTAATACTTTCTCATGGGTTTACTTTTACCCAAGATAGCACCTAACACATAGTAAATGTCCACCACATGTGAGGGTTAAAGGACAGCATGAGCTTTTAAATATCAAAACAACAAATTGGCAAGATGTAAATCTTTAAGGTTTGTGGCCCTTCAAACAAAGGAAAGAATGTTCAGTTCCTCCCTCACCTCCAAGACAGAGAGAGTGAGATAGCAGGTGAAATTCTTGTATATTCAGTTCATATCTGCCAGTGATCTTGGTTCCATACCTGTGAGCTGAAGCAAAGACACGTGAGATGCCAGTATTGGAAATAGAAGTGCCTGAAAATTGTCGTTGACCCTGGAACAACAGAGGGAATTTTAAAGATTTTTTAGAACTTGAAATTGGGTTGAAAGAGAGCTCCCAGACAACAACCAAGCATGTTTCTAGTTCTAACATAGGCTGTGCATGTTTCTCACCCAGAATTCACAGCAGCCTTATAAGGCAGACTATGTTGCCTCCATCCCACAGATGACGACACTAAGGTTCTAACAAGGTGAGCATGAAACCTTGTTTTAACTCCTGTGTTCAGAGAAAAGCGGCTGGGCAGCAGGAAGGATTAGTTACTGAATACCTACGCTATAAGCCAGGCCCTAAGCTTGGTGCTTTAGCCGTATTGTTTTATATATAATCTTTACAATGCCCCCGTAAGACACGTTCCAGTAGCCCCTCTTTGTTCTTTGGTAAATTTTATTCTGAAGTTTTAGTCATTCAGAGATGTGAAGAAACTTGTCTAATTACACAGACCAAGCAGAAACAAGATTTAGACCCAAGCTTGTCTAATTTTGAAGTGTGGAATCTTCTAAGGACACCAAGAATGATGTCTCCTTTAAGGAAAATGATCTTCCTGTCAGCCTTTCAGTTACCACACAGGAACTGAGTTTGGAGCCCTCACCCTTTGAGGCAGTCAACTGTGCCCCAAGGACTTTCTACACTCTTCATGTTAAATTTTTTTGAAGTAGGTATATCATGGCAAAGCTTGCTCTCACCTGATGCCATTAGCTTACCCACTTACCCCCTCAAAACCACTCTCCACAGGGGCCATCACAGAGTTTTCAAAACTGCCCACTTGACCTCATTGCTCTCCTGCACCATCTTACCCTCAGGCTCCTCTGCTCAGCCTGGCACTCAGGGCTCTCTGTGACCTGACCCCGATTGGCCTCGCCAGCCTCATCTTTTCCCACTTCACACACACACACACACACACACACACACACACACCCCACACATGCACGCACACACAGCACGCATGCACAGCACGCACGCGCACACACACACACACACACACACACACACACACACAGCATGCACGCACGCTTCAGCCAGATCGAACCACTTGGAAATTCCCAGAAAGAGCACTCCATGCTTGCTTTCAGCTGCAGGTTTTCTGTGCACTGTTCACTCAGCCTAGAGCACCCTTTTCCTGCCTGCATAGATCCTATTCATCCATTAAGAGTCAGTTCAGAAGCTGCCTTCTCCGAAAAGCTTTGCCAGACATCAGAGCCTTTCTATAATTGCAAATCAGGGGTTCCTTCTCTGTACCCCCATAGTAAGTGCTCCATAAACAATGAAGGTAATAGTATTAATAGTTGTTATCCTTAATGAGGCTGGTACTATAATGTTTAAAGGATGCGTTTTATACTTAGAAAATGCTAAATACTTTCTTTAGCTGAATCACGTAAGTGGAAAATCAACTGCAAGGGAACTCAGTAGACCACCTTTGGAGTAAAGTAAAAATTCTGATTGATTTTTAAAAAAAACCTGTTCTCCTCATCCTATAAATTCGACTCAAACTTAGACTGGAAATAAAAAATATATAAGAATGAAGATATTCTTTCCGTCCCTCTCCTTGATTTACCAAAGCCGTCAGACACATCATGCTGAGGGGTGAGGGGGAATATTTGTAGCTGTGGGACTATTAATAATGCTGTCACCTTTGTGAGCATATTGAAATGTATACCGTGTGCTTAGTGTGTACCCAGTGCCTCGGGGGCCCAGCAGTATCTGGTGTTTGTGAGGTAGCCTGGAACAGTGGAAAGAGCATGTGCTTTGAATCCACAAGGACCTGTGTTTTCATCTTGGCCTTACCAATAACCACCTTGTGTTTTGGCCAAATAAGTTCTTCTGTGCCTAGACTTCTGTGGGCATGCTTCTGACTGTCTTGACTTGTGTTTCCTTCCAGCAATCAGAGAAGATGGCATGCCGGGAGGCCGGAATAAGAGCATCGGGCCAGTCCAGGTGAGTTCCAGTCCTCACTTTGTGATCCACCCTGGAAGCCCTGAGTTCCAGATGCTCCTATAGCTGCTCACCTTGATCCTCGCATCAGTTATGGTGGGGGGCGGAGGGAATCTTTGCTTTCATCCCTGCAAAACGGCTTTTTGGAGCCTAGATATGAAAGTGCTTTGAAAATCTTAATACGTAAGATAATGATTAATTGAAGTTCTTCTTGTGATCAGTCCCTCAAGCCTTTCTGGAGATTTCACAGGAAGCAAACCCAATTCTGGTTCTAAACCATTCAGAGGATTCTTTATGTCAATCATTTAAGGTTGTAGATAAACATAGCCTGACAGAAATCAGCAAGACTCCTTTGCTATTCAGTGTCTCTAAAGATACATCAGCAAAAAGGATTGCCTTATTCATAGAGTAGGAATGATAATATCCATTCTGTCCCACAAACTTGACTGCTCTGTGCCAGATCCCCTGGACCATGACTCGGTTGAGTGTGAGAGAGAGACAGATACGTAAACAGACATCAGAGTACAGTGTGCGATAACAGAGGATGCCCAGGGAATACAGGAGGGAGGGGCCTCTTTTCTGTTTGCTCTGGAGCCATGGTTGGGGACTGAAGACATTCAGGAAAGGCTTTCTAAAGAAGGTGAAGTTTCAACTGAGTCTTGAAGGAAAAGTAGGAATTATAGCTATGTTGGGAAGGGGGGTGCAGAGCCAAATACTTTTTATTCATGCTAGACAGGACAGACTGTTAAAAGACCAAAAGATGAATCTCTAAGGAAGGACAAGGAGTTGATTCGGTCAGGCCCGAGCACTGGGCACATGTGGTTGATGGACAGCCAGTAAGGTAGATAGATTCCTTGAGTTTGGGCATCGGCTCTCTAGAGTGCCTTTGTCTTTGATTATAGCTCCTTAGATAAAGCCTTTGCAGGGCCAGCCTACTGCACTGGTTCTTACTCGTCAGTAGAAGAAGAGTTTCTGAGAATAGAGCACTGGATCTGTTTATGACCCATCAAGTGAATCCCTCAGCACAATAGTGGACGGGGCCATGCCTCAGTAATCAGGAATTACTGATGTGGACCAAGCAGCAACCACTAAAAGGTTTTAAGTAGAGAGAGGGGCATGGTCAGATTTGCATTTTGGAAAGATCATTCTAGCAGTGGAAATGGTTTGTGAGGAGCTGAGTAAGGGACAGTAAAACTAGGGGCAGAGAAAAAGTAGTTAGTAAAGGGTTTTACAGAAGTCCAGGCAAGAGATATAGATAGTGGTTTTAAGTAGGGCGATGATAGCATAAATTGAGCAGGAGGAATAGATTCAAGAAATATTTAATAGGTAAAATTGATGGGATTTATCCAATTGAATGTGAGGGAATGAGAGAAAGACAGGAATTCAGAGTTGTTTTGAGACATACACTGATGCTGTATGGGGGTGGGGTGGTTCCTATCACATGAGCTTGGTACATACACACCCGCATTTGGGGTGTGGTGTGTGCTGTATTCATTCTCTTTCCTTTTTTTATTTTATTTTTATTTTTTTAAAGATTTTTTTTTAATTGGGGGATGGGAACAGTGCTGGGGAATTGGGGGAAGGGGAACAGACAAGTTGCTGTTGCTTTGTTCTTCAGTCTAGTTGTGGAGGACGTTGCTTCACTGGCCCAAGTTGGCACCATCATTGCGCTCTTCCCCGGGTGAGGCAGATCAGTCAGCGGCTTCTGGACAGCCACTCACTGTGGCTGCTGGCTGCTCACGCTGGCTGCTGGCTACACACGGTAGCCCATGGCAACCCACTGCAGCAGGGGCTACAGCCTACGCGTCGGCCCAGCTCCAGGTTGAGCTATTTTTCAGCATCTTAGCTGTGGAGGGCAGTGTCACTGGCCCTCATATGTGGGATCCGAACCGGGGCCCTCTGGTGTCCCAAGCCAGCTCTTAACCAACGCATCACTCGGCCGGCCCCTCTCCTTTTTTTAAATCAAACATTTTTATTCGTTATTCAAATCATATATATCTCGCAAGTTAATTTATTTCGTTCTGCACTCATAGCTGCTCTTTTGTGGTAAAAAAAAAAACAACAAAAACAGAAAATGAAATCTATATCCTTAACAAACTGTTAAGTGTATAGAACGATATTAACTATATGCACATTTTTATGTAGCAGATCTCTAGAACTTTTTCGTCTTGTGACTGAAACTTGATTCCCATTGAAGAGCAGCTCCGCATTTCCCCTCCCCCAGTCCCTGGCAGCAACCATTCTACTTTCCCATTCTCAGAGTTTGTAAATGTATACCACACTTTGCTTATCCAGTCATCCATCAATGGACATTTAGGTTTTTACCTCTTGGCTATTGTGAATAATGCTGCAATGAATGTGGAAGTATCTCTTTGAGATCCTGATTTCTTTTGGGTAGATACCCAGAAGTGGGGTTACTGAATCATATGGTAGTTCTATCTTTAATTTTTTTGAGAAACCTCCATACTGTTTTCCATAGTGGCCACACCATTTTACATTCCTACCCAGCAGTGCACAAGGGTTCCAATTTTCCACATCCTCTCCAGCACTTATTTTCTGCTTGCTTGTTTGTTCCTGATAATGGCCATCCTAATAGATGTGGGGTGATATTGTGGCTTCGATTTGCATTTCCCTGATGATTAATGACGTTGAACCTTTTTTCATATACCTGTTGGCTGTTTATATGTCTTTGAAGAAATGGCTATTCAAGTCTTTTGCCCACTTTTTAATCGTGTTTTTTGTTTTGTTGCTATTGAGTTGCAGGAATTCCCTATATATCTTGAATATGAACTCTTTACCAGATATATGGTTTGCAGATATTTTCTCTCACTCCATGAGTTGCCTATTCACTTTGTCAGTTGTTTGCTCTGCAGAAGTTTTTTAGTTTGATATAATCCCATTTGTCTATTTTTGCTTTTGTTGCCTGTGCTTTTGGTGTCAAATTTAAGAAATTATTGCTGAGGCCAATGTCAAGAAGCTTTCTCTCTCTCTCTCTCTCTCTTTTTTTTAGGCATTTTATATTTTCAAAAGGTTTTAGATTTAAGTCTTTAATTCATTTTGAGTTGATTTTTGTACACAAAATGTGACAGAGTCTAATTTCATTCTTTTGCATGCGGATATCCAGTTTTCCCAACACAGCTTGTTTGAAGAGCTTGTCCTTTCCCCATTGTATAGTCTTGGCATCTTTGTCAAAGATCTTTTGATCATATATGCATGTGTTTCTTTTGGGGTTCTATTCTGTTCCATTGGTCTATGTCCATAAGCCAGTACCATACTGTTTTGATTACTGTATAGCTTTGTAATGCTTTGAAATCAAGAATTGTAAGATCTCTGGCTTTGCTGTTCCTTCTCAGGATTGTTTTGGCTGTTTGGGATTCTTTGTGGTTCCATATGAATTTTAAGATTGTTTTTTCTATTTCTGCAAAAAATGCCATTAGAATTTTTATAGGGATTGCATTCACTCTGCAGATAACTTTGGGCAATAGAGACATTTTAACAATATTATTAACTCTTTCAATCTATGAACATGGGATGTCTTTCCATTTATTTATGTCCTTAATTTCTTTCAGCAGTGTTTAATTTCTTTCAGCAGTATGCACATCTTTCACCTCTTTAGTTAACTTTATTCCTAAGTATTTTATTATTTTTGATACTATTGTAAATAAGATTGTTTTCTTAATTTCCTTTTCAGATAATTCATAAAAGTGTCACTGCTTTTTGTATGATTTCGTGTCCTGCAACTTTAAGATCATGTCATCTGTGAACAGATAATTTTACTTCTTCCTTTCTAGTTTAGATGCCTTTTATTTCTTTTTATTTTTGCTTGCTTGCTCTGGCTAGGACTTTCAGTACTATATTGAATAGAAGTGTTAAGAAAGGACATCCTTGCCTTGATCCTGATCTTAGGCAAAGCCTTCAGTTTTTTACCATTGAGTATCATGTAGCTATGGGCTTTTCATATATGATCTTTATTTGTACTCATTCTTTTTATATTTAGATGCAGTAGAAAGTTTACCTGTTGGGAAGAATTCTTAAGCATTTCCTCAGTGAAAAACCTTCCCCCGTATTACCTGATGATTTTCTGAGTATGCTATGTGGCTCTCCTAACCATGCCAGGGGATCTTCAGTTGCTTACATCTCCAGACTCTGTGCAGAATTGAGGGAGCTGATATTCAGAGAAACCTATTTCATCCGTCATTGCATTTGACTTTTTGATCCTGGGCATGTAATTTTCCTTTTAGTCTTTTACAATTTCTAGGGTGTATTAGGAAGAGAGAGCTGTAATTTCCAATTTCTTAACTGAATTTAATTATAATTAAAAATAAAGGATAGAATTTCCATTTATTGAGCACGTGTTGTGCACCTGCACTTTATAACTTATAATCTTAGATTAACCTCCCAAGTCTCTCTGACTCAAAGCTGCATATTTCTTTGCTCCAGCACCCTGTGAGGGATCCCTGAGCTATGAGGGAGGTGATATTATCTCCATTTACAGATGAGGGAGCTAAGGCTCAGAGAACTTGAGTGACTTGCCCAACACTAAGTACCCAGCTAGGAAATGGCAGATGAGATTTGAACCCAGATTCACCACTCACAACATGTTCCATCCCCTGTTCAGTGCATCAGTGATTGCCCAGTGGCCCAGGGGACCCTCAGGGAGAGCAGGTGCGTTGTCACTTTGCCTCCCAGCTAGAGGAAGCTGCAGTTACCAGGACTGGCCCGTTTCACCCAGCTCACATTATTTCCATGCCCACCAAGCTCTGGTCTTGCTCCCATCCTCACGGAGGCTGCTTCAGTCAGGGGCTCAGTAGATGTCCTGTAGTTTGATGCCACCATTTGTCTTTACATGTCTTATAAAATGCAAACAGTGATTTCAGTATTCTAAGGACCCCTAAGAGAAAAGTGGGGGGTTTTGTTTGCTTGGTTTTTGCTACATGTGACTGAGTAAAGAAAGACAACCCCTCCAGTGTGCAGTCCAAGCTATTTGAGACCAACCACTCAACTTGCCCACCAGTGAGACATTCTTTGTTTTCTCTCCCAAGTCCTGTGTGCTGGCTGGCTTCCAGTTCTGAATGCCTTCTGTATTTACATTTGGAGCAGCTCAAGGTTTCCTCACAGGCTCCCAGAGCAGAGAATTATGTAGGTCTAAGTTAGACTTGGGAGAAAATACCCTCCTATGCTTTTCTCAGGAATAAGAAATAAAAATCCCTTTGGCCCTTCCTCCTTAGCACTCACTCTCATTCTGTGTGCTGATAGCTGCTTAGGCCTCAACTATGAGTTAGACACTCTATAGAAGTGTTTCTTTACTTCCTTATATGGTGCACTAGCTAGAGCACTGGACTGAATACTTGAATACTCTGGCCTCTTCCTCAATCTCCTGCCCAGACACGGACATGCAGTGTGATCTTGGGCGAGTCAGTTCATTTGTCTTCGCTACAATTTCTTGTTTATTCAGTAGGCTTAGGAATGCCTTTCTTACTGAGAAAATCAGTAGTTTTGTGAAGTTTTGTGGTCAGTAATTAATAAGTGAACATTTGTTCATTTATCCAACGTGTATTTATTAATTACTTTTTTTTTTAGGTCCTATCATAGCCTTATTTTTTGTAGAGGATATTTTATGAATCATTACCAGAAGTGCTATAAAAATAACAATAATGATCATGAAGATATCATTGTCAGCCTTCAATAATTATTGCTATGTGCTAGGCCCTATTATAAACATATGATAATATATTAACTAATTTAATCCTCACTACAGTCCTATGAGATATATACTACTATTCTCTGTACCATACAAATGAAGGAGTTTAGGTTCAAATTGTTTTTTTGTGTGTGTGTTTTTTTTTTAAGATTTTTATTGGGGAATTGGGGGGATGGGAACAGTGCTGGGGAATTGGGGGAAGGGGAACAGACAAGTTGCTGTCCTTTTGTTCTTCAGTCTAGTTGTGGAGGACGTTGCTTCACTGCCCCAAGTTGGCACCATCATTGCGCTCTTCCCAGGCGAGCCACATCAGTCGCTGGCTTCTGGACGGCCGCTCACTGCGGCTGCTGGCCGCTCACGCTGGCTGCTGGCTACATACGGTAGCCCATGGCAACCCACTGCCACAGGGGCTGCAGCCTACGCCGTCGCCGGCGACTCCCAGCAGCCCAGCTCCAGGTTTAGCTGTTGTTCAGCATCTTAGCTGTAGAGGGCAGTGTCACTGGCCCTCATATGTGGGATCCGAACCGGGGCCCTCTGGCGTCCCAAGCCAGCTCTTAACCATCGCGCCACTCGGCCGGCGCTAGGTTCAAATTGTTAAATGACTTAGCCAAGATTCTTCAACTAGAAAGTGGCAGAACCTGGAATAGAACAAAGGTGGTCTAACTCGAGAATTCATACTCAACCACTATGCTGTTCTTTCTCTCTCAGAATGCACAGAATTATTAGCAGATAGAAGAGGGACTTAAAATTCTGTCTAGGTAGCGATAGAAGGATTCACGAAGAAGGTGACATCTGGGTTGGGTCTTGAAGGGCAAGCAGGAGTTATTGAAGAGTGGTGTTTCAGGGGTAGGAAGGAACACTCAAGGATAAAGAGGAGTGTTGAAGAACCTAGAGGCTTTGTGGCTTGAGAGGGGGGTAACTGGGCAAGAGGTAAGCCATTATGACAGGAGGCAAGGAACCAAGCCGTCCTAGATTAGTGAGAGACCTAGAGTATGGGCGTGGAGGGGAGGGTGTCTGGGTTTCTCTCTAGAGAGTTCGGGAAATCCCCATGAGGTTTAAGTAAAAGTAAGTTCTCAGTCCTAAGGAAGGAACAGAGTATCCTGAACACTCAGTCTAACATGTATCATTTCCTTGTCAAAGATATCAGAGGAAGAGATCGAAAGGATCATGTCTGGGCAGGAATTTGAGGAAGAGGCCAATCACTGGAGCAACCATGGTGACAGCGACCACAGTTCCCCTGGGAATAGGGCTTCAGAGAGCAACCAGCCCTCACCAGGCTCCACACTGTCCTCCAGGTGAGCTTCAAGGCAAAGCCAGCATCTCTAGGGATCACCCAGGGTGTGGACCCAAGGAGTCCTCTGGGCCAAGTATTCTTGCCAGTCTGTCTCAGCCATTGTACTCTTGCTCCCTTAGTCCTTTGGGGTAGGGCCCAGGACCATGCAAAGCAGTATTCAAGAACCCATTTTTTGCTAAAGACCTTGAAAATGTCAGCCGTCTCATCCTCAGACTGATAAAGTGCTATAGCTGCTCTCCGTGCCCATACATTCTTCACCTAACAGAATAACATTTTAAATGTAGCTCTTTTCTCTCATTTACTTTATCACTGAAATAAAACAAGCCACACTGGTAATATTAAATTAAGTTATAATTTCTCTGCCTCAGCAAGAGTGAAGATTTTCACTTTATAAATTTTAAGAAATAGTGAAAATTTTCTAACCTAGTCAAATTTGCTGCTATCATGGAATACCAATTTGGAGACTCTTGGTCCCAGAATGGTATCTTAGGTTAGTTAGGTATGAATACAGCCATCAGCTACCAGGGGAGGCTTTCTTTCCCCAGAAATCTTTTACAGGAAAGGGATTGGCAAACTGTCTATGAAGGACAGATAATAAAAACTTTAGGCTTTGCAGGCCTACGGTCTAGGTCTCAGCTACCAGCAGGGTGCGAAAGCAGCCAGAGACAATATGTAAATGAATGAGTGTGGCTGTGTCCCAGTGAAACTTCATTTACCACAAGCCATGGGCCATAGTTTACTGACCCCTGTTATAGGAGATGCATCTAGGTAACACAACAGGAATTTTAAAAAATTAGTTGACAGAGTGGCTGGATTTCTCCCAGTAAAGATCAAGAAGATAAGAATCTGACTTTCTCTTCATATTTCATTATAATCTTTATTCATTCAGTTGTTCCGTAGTTTGTTTTGAATATTTGGGGAGTTGTGACCACATCACAGGTCCCTCGGCTAGGTGCTCGATTTGTTTTGTGCAAGGAAGGCACTTAGCCTGTCTGTGCCTTAGTTTTCCTAGCAGTGAAAAAACACCTCCCACCCCCACAAAAAATACAAAAAAACCCCACCCACCTTTATCATCATAGTCTATAAGTATCCATTAAAACTTCTCCAAATTTGGCACCTGTATGAGGAATTCATTTAGCCGTTATTCATGGTCTGCTCTACCAGCCCCTGTGTTCCAATGGTGAGCCACACAGACACTCGCACAGCATCCCTGTCTAAGGGGAGAGGTTCATGTAACCGTTGATGATGTCCCTGGCTTGATGAAGACAGACTGCACGGCTGAAGAACACCTTTGAGTAGGTGGTAGACCTGCCGTGGTTCTGCCTGACATGAGCCTTTCTCTCCAGTAGGTCGGTGGAACTAAATGGATTTATGGCATTCAGGGAGCAGTACATGGGGATGTCTGTGCCTCCACACTATCAATACATACCGCACCTTTTTAGCTATTCTGCCCACTCGCCACTTCTGCCCCCACAAGCTCGCAGCCTGGATCCCCAGTCATACAGTCTGATTCACCAGCTCGTATCAGCTGAGGACCTGGAGCCACTGGGCACTCCCATGTTGATCGAAGATGGGTGAGTGAATCCTACCCTATTTAAGCCTTGCAGCTAAAGAATGTTCTCTGTCCCACACCCCCCTTCATCCCTGGCGGCTGTACTCCAGGCTTCAGAATGAATTGGGGATAATGAGTGAGGACTCGGCATCAGAGGGCAAATCTGTGCTATCTTTGAAGCCAGTGGTCCCTCATTTTTTTCTTGAGTATCTTTTCTCATAGAGTTGAGGCTCTTTATCAATCCCTATGAAATTGGGAGTAAAGGGCTTTTGTTTCTGCTGGGGCCTAGGTAAGCCAGGCCCTGGGATGGGTCTGAGTGCTTCAGAGCCTAAGATGTGCTGTAGTTCTAGGGACAGTCATATGAGGCTAGGCCTCTTAACAAGGCGCTTGGGCACTAACTGGCTGTGGCCTGTCCATATCTCTAGCCAACATTCCTGTGGGTGGCCTCTGCCGTGTGCTCTGTGTGTAGGCCTGAGTTGGTGGAAGGGAATATTCTCTCAATGCCCCTCGGCTCTGTCCGAGCAGACAGTTCAGTGCGACCCACCCCCGCTGCTGCACCCATTACTCCTTTGGCCTGGAGCATAGGCTGTTTGTTTCCAAGCTTAGACTCCTTCAAAAAGGTCTCCTGATATTTCTTAATCTAGTCTCTAATTTCAAAGAGGAAATTCAAACAACTGTCTACAAGGCCACACAAAACCTTCATAAATCTGGACATGGGGTGTGGGGAATAGTCATGCCAAGGGGCCTTGAGAGAACTAATATGAGACCCCAGTGTCATCCAGTCTGGGGATGAGAAATACCCTGTTCCTCCCTCTCGCAGGAGCTTAGAAGAGCTGAGCAACTGTAGTTCCTGAACTCTCACCACCAGGGGGTGCAGTGAGAGCAGGAAAAGCTGAGCTTGAGTTCTGTTTCAGCCGTCTGGACCCAGGCTCATTTTATCTGCCAGTCAGTCCCTGTATTCAGTGGGCACCAGATCCCCCTAATGGAGCCCCCATTGCCAAAACTAGTGCAGGGGTGACTTGGAATTTTCTCTAACATAAAACGTTAGTGGACACCAACAATAAAAGTCACACTCCCAGATGATTGCACAAATTTCTAAGCCTCCTTTCCCCTCAGAAACCTTTTCTCACCGAACCCGCCTCTCCAGCCCCAAGCTTGCTGCTGGCCCCAGTCCTGCCTCTTCATCATTAGGCCAAATTGAATGGAACTGGAGATCCATGGGCAGGGGCAAGGAGCCCACTGCCAGAGACACTTTGTTCCCTTAGGAGTACCCTCTTCCTATGCCCCATCTGCCTCCTCTGGCCCCTGGAAGTGACTTTCCCCTGTCCCTCCCCCCAGATATGCTGTGACCCAGGCGGAGCTGTTTGCCCTGCTTTGCCGCCTGGCCGATGAGCTGCTCTTTAGGCAGATCGCCTGGATCAAGAAACTGCCTTTCTTCTGCGAGCTCTCAATCAAGGATTACACGTGCCTCCTGAGCTCTACGTGGCAGGAGCTAATCCTGCTGTCCTCACTCACCGTGTACAGCAAACAGATCTTTGGGGAGCTGGCCGACGTCACAGCCAAGTACTCACCCTCTGACGAAGAGCTGCACAGGTGAGGGCTGCTGGCTGGGGAGGGGTCCCCAGGTAGCCAAAGCATTGCCATCTCTCCAAGGCGGCGGCGTTGCCTGGCACTCCTAAGGATGGGCCTTCAAGCCACACAGGGTTGGATTTGAATCTTTACTCTGCCACTGGCTAGTTGTGTAACCTTGGTCAAGTCTCTGATGCTCAGGTTCTGAACTTATAAAATGGGATAATAACAATACAAAAAACAAATGGGATAATAACAACCTCCTCAATAAGGTACTTGTGAGGAATAAATGATATTGTGCAGCAAAACTAAGCAGAGTGCTAAGCTATTATTTTGATCACATCTGGATTACTGAGGTAAGGTAATGTATCTGGGAAAAGCAAAAATCTAAACCTCGCCTTTAAGGTAAGGGGATCTCAGCTGTAGTGTGCAATCTGAGAACAAGGCCTAGGGGTCACTGTGGTGGCTTTTGTGTGCCAGGCACTCAGCTTGGCATTTTATATGATTGCCTTATTTCTCACAGCCTTTGGCATTACAGTTGTGATTATACCTATTTTATAAAGGAGAAAACTAAGGTTCCGAGAGGCCTGCCTGACTGCAAAGCTTAGGCTCCTCCACTGCATCTGAGATGCAAGGAGATGGTAAGAGCATGGGACTAAGAGACCGTTTTTCTCCTCGATGTGTCCTAGCGTGAAGTCTTATCTCAGCTGGCCAGGACCCTTCTAACCTCCCTGTGGAGGGTAGGTCTTTTACTCACTCACTTTGGAGACCTGGAGCTCACGGTGACACCCCCAAATCAGGACAAGTGATACAACTTTTCTGGCTTATTAATTTATCCATGTGTAAAATAAAGCTTGCAACACATTTAAGTAGCAATTTCAATAATTCACCTTTGTTGCACTGTTTAAAATAATGGAAGTCATGGGATTCTAGAGCACCAAGAAGGGGGGGAAGAAAAGGTACTCCCATCGGTGAAAGCTGGAGAGGGTGGGGTACCAGCCCCCACACCTCTGTACACAGGAGTGGGGTACACCTCCCTCTGGCACCCAATCTCATGGCACAAAGACAAGCGGAGACTCAGGCTGGAAGCTCCGAGACCCTCAAGCGCCCTGTGCTGAGGGACGGAGGAGTCTGGGAGCTGACTTTCTCCCCTGGGTTTCTAATGTTTCCTTTTTAATGATGCTTACTGGCTTTAGGGTGATCTATAAATGACAGAGTTTTGAACCCAGCTGACACTTTGTCCTGTAAACAGAGCTATCTGATTTTGCAAATGACCTAACCCTTTGTCTTAAGCCTCTAATTCATTGTTTCCATCAAAATCCTGTGTCCTGCTCTGTAACTCTGGTCTGACTGAATGTTCGGATAGCAGTCAGCCTGCTCTAACATTGTCAGGTTTGCAGAGCTGGCCCAGCAAGCCCGTTTGCCTGCAGTGCAGCCTGGGACTGCCTGCAGAGTCAGCCTGTTTTCCCGGCCCCCTCCAGGCAGGCAGGGACCAGTGGTTGTACAGGGCCTCGCTGTGGTTTTGAGCTTCATAAGGCACCCCATCCCACTGTATTCAATCCCTTGTACCCCAAGAGCAAGGCAGGGGCCAGTAACAGCTGAATCAGTGAGGGAATTTTTATTTTCTAGGAAGGCTCCTTACCAAGGAGAATCTAGAGCTGCATTGTCCAATATAGTAGCCACAAGCCTCAGGTGGCTTTTTAATTGTAAATTAATTAAAATTCAGTAAAATTGAAAATTAAGTTCCTCATTTGCACTAGCCACGTTTCAAGTGCTGAGTAGCCACATGTGGCTAGTGGCTACTATATTGAACAGTGCAGACAGGGAGCTCTTCCATATTGCAGAAGGTGCTGCTGATTCGAACACATGGTGCTGCTGAGCTGTCACATGAGTTTGAGGATAAGAAATCGATTTTTTTGTTAGGACTCTTCTTCCACTATGGAGGCCTTCAATGGAAAAATGCGAGTTAAACTTCAACCTGTTACTTGTGATTCCATGCCCACTTACTGAGCACCTACTGTGTGTTTTGGGAGTGAGTTCCTGCACGGGCATAATCAGGGAGTTCTTGCCAGAGGAAAAGACGTTTAAGCTGCATCTTGAAGTGGGAGTTTTCTAGGTAGATTGCAGGGAACAGGAGGAAAGCAGGAGAATGACACCAAATCCTGGATGTTGGAGGTCCTGGATGGATGCTTTGGGTAGGGAACCAAAAGCAGTCCTGTAGATTAGGGTACCGAGAGAATGTGCCTGAGAGACAGACATGAGGGAAGAAATGACTGCAGAAAAAGGTATGGAAAAGATGGGTCATGAAGGTGCTCAAAAGCCAATCTAAAGAATTCAGATTTTGTCTAAATAGTATGAAGTCATAGGACATTTTTTAATGGAGCAATTACATGGTCAGGTTGCATTTTAGAAAGATCCCTGTGGCTGTAAAGCTCAGGATGGGTGGCATGGACAAGGCATTCCATGGCCCAGGTGAAAAGGACAAGGCAACAGTGACTGTGGGAGAAGCAACGGCAGCACAGAGTTAGGAGATGGCAAGGAGGTGGAGTCAGTGGGACTTCAGTGAGGGGAAACGGTTGGGGTGCTGCCAGGCAGCTGGGCACCAATGCTCTTAGCCCAGATGGTGGAGCCTGGGAAGCCAGCCTGGGAGATGAACCACTCTGAATTTGATTTGGGGGTCTGTCGAGCCTGAGATGTATGTCGAAGTGCTCCAGAGGCCAGAAGAAATGGAACTATGAGGACCTGTGGAATCAGGCGTCTCACTGTAAAGCAGTCCCCACTCTGCTAGAAACCAGGGTTTGGAATCTGTAATTGGCCATAGCTCTTTCCTACCTTGCCTGCTCCTGCGTTACTCCCACTCCCCCCAAATGCCTTTACTTTTTCACAACTCTTGAGTGCAAGTGAGTTCCTGCTGTCATGAAAAGGCTTTCCCCAGATGATACATGACCACCTCCTTTTCTTTTCTCAAATATTGATTCAAATTTATGGTGCCCATTTTCCTTAATCAGGCTGTTATCGGACAGTGAGCTGGTGAATTTGATTTAAAGCAGATTGTAGCACCAGCCAGCGACTGCCCCTGGCCCTAATCAAGACTCCTTTACTCTCAGGAGAAGATGCCTTGCACTCGATGGGCTTTAATGGGCACTCTGCCTCCTGAGCATTCATTCAGAGCTCTGGAAAGTTCCCTCCAGCTTCCCTGCTCAGACCCTAGCTGTAAGGTTCAGGAAACACAGTCTTTTCTTTTTGCTGTGGCAATCGGAGCGATGATGACAATGCTAATAGCTAAGAATTATACAGTTTATTGTGCCGATTCCATCGTAAGAGCTTCACAAACATTTGTTTAGTCCTCACCACCGCCCTGAGACTGCACTAATATTTCCCTGTTCTACCAATAAGGGCCATAAGGTTCAGAGAGCTGAAAACTCGAGGCTTCAAAGCTAGACAGAGATGAGGTTGAGATTCTTACGTAGATCTTTGGTGCTCCAAAGACCAGGCTGTCTGCCATTACCCTATACCAAGTTCTTTAGCCTCCTCAAAAGTTTGACTTTCTGAAACGTGTCCTGGAGCCACCGTCTTACTGTTTATCTTGGAGCTTGTATATGGGTATGGAGGTGGCAGTTCCTCTAAGGTTGTGGCTGATGATTGCTCCTGGGGGTAGATGTATTTAGATGAATGAAAAAGAGACAACTGGGCCTCTCAGCCCCCTTAATGGGACATAACTTATGCAGTGTCAGCTTCAATTGCTGACTGAATGGTTCAGTGGTTTGGGGGATCCTGGCAGGAATGTTTTCCTTGTCCTAGCATGCTTGTGTAATGGGAACCGAGAAGAAGAATGGGTGTGTTTGTCCAGCTCTCTGGCTTTGAATGTTGATAATTTGTAGACAGGGACTACAGGGGCGTTAGAGCCGTGGGCTGGGCAGATATGGGGGAGGTACGGCTGCAGGAGAAAGCAGGCCCATGGAACAGAGAACAATTTGTTTATCAAGGGCTGGGATGCGGGGTGTGGAGGGAAGCTTTGCAGTCAGGCTGTGGAGACTGAGTGGGGGCTGCTGGGCTAGCTGCCAGTCCCCACCACTGCCAGGGGTCCGCGATGGTAGCCTGTCCTAAGAAATTTGAAAAGGAAATCTGTGCTGTCCCCAAGAGGAAGGGCAGATCAGGGGTATATGCTGAGGCCGGGCACTGGGGAGCGCCTCTGTGCCCCCTCGGGTCAGGACTCAGCCAGGGGTAGGTTTGGCATTCCTGGCTAGGGGCCTGGCCGAGAGCCACACACCTGCAGATTCTGCGGTGCCAGAGTGAGCACTTGGGGCCAGAGGTTGCTGATTAGGAGAGAGCGTTATCTTCGCTTGCTACACTGCTGGGCCACCAGACAGATGCTGACACTGCTGCTCCGCCTGCACCCCCCTTTTTTATGCCCTACCCATCCCACCCCTACCTCAGCCCTCCAAGCAGACCATAAAGGGTATTTACACTGAAGACCTTTTCTTCTCATGAACACAAAGATTGATCTGCACTCCCGGGCACACTGCCTGCTGCCAGCTTCAGCATCACGGAAGCTTTGCAGGGCGGTTGTGTGCACTGCAGCCAGCCCAGCACCTGCTCTGGGCTGGGCCCTGGGCTGAGTTGCTGTAGGAACACAGAGCTCCTGAGGTCCCCTGTGGTAGCATGTGGTAGCTTTTCCCAGTTACCGGTTCAGAGCAAGGCAGTCAGGGAGAAGATGGTGTCGTGCTGAGAAAGTGACAGGCTTGCCATTAGAACACTTGGGTTTAAACCTTAGCCCATCACCACTTATTTACTGTGCAATCTTGGGGAAGGCACCTCTTCCGCTTCTTCACCCCTCCTATGATGTGATGCTTCTAATCTCACAGGTTATCAGGAGGGTCAAATGCAAGAATGCAGTAGGGGCCCAGTAAATAGCCTCTGTGAGCCTTGGTTTCCATATGCGAACAAAGAGCTTATAACATCCACGTGGGGGTTTATTGGGAGTATCCAGTGAAATTATGTATGTAGAATATTTAACAAAGTGCCTGGCAAGTAGCAAACACTCAACAAATGGTAGATAAAGTTATCCATAGTGGTTATTCAATATCAATTTGTCTGCCAGCCTGTCTAGGAAAATATCAATAAAGCTGTAAAAGCCACTGGGACCAGGAGCAGAGAGAAACGGACTCAGCCATCACAGTTCAGACTCAGCCCTGAGAGAAGCCCCATCTCGGCCTGACTGGGAGCCCAGCCTTAAGGCCGAGGGCCAGAGCTCCAATTGTGAGGAGCTGCCGCTGGGCTCCCCCTGGTGCTTGAGAGCTGCAGGTGCCTCTGGCCCCAGCCAGGGCCGGACTTCCCTCCCGAAAAAGGAATGTCCTGCTTGCTTGCCCAGGAAGCCAAGCCCTTGCAAAGCCTTCAGAGTTAACGCAGAAAGCAGTAGTACATCCCCAGGTGTTCTGGACCCAACCCAGCTAGGGCCTCCTTGCCTGGCACGGGGCTGCTGCAGTACCCAGATCTGAACATAATCACCAGGAAGCAGCCCTGGACTGAGCAGCTCAGACTGAGCTGCACCTAAGGCCTGTCTGGCCCTCTCCTTGGCCCACAGACCAGCCCACTCCTAGAAGGGTAGAGACTGGGCCTGACCCAGCGTTTATAACTTGCTTCCCCATTAGGCCTTTGTCTCCTTGGTTGGGTTTGCCTTCATATCTCCATCTCTGATATGAGATATTCCCCACTGGGACCCAGACTATTAGTCCCCTAGCCTGGGGCTCCTTTGCCAAAAACTTGGTCTTTTCTCAAGGAACTTACTCCTAGTTAAAAGAAAAGAGCATTGAGTCTTCTCTGCTAGGGGATACCACCTTAGATACTGGAAAAACCAAGGCCCAGGTTCCACGTTCCAGCTCTGTCACCAGCTAGCTGCGTGTTCGTGAACCAGTCCCCACTATTCTTTGAACTTCAGTTTCTAATCTGTACAGTGGTAGTGATTATCTCACCTAGCCCATAGTGCTGAGAAAATTCAATGAGATAATGCACATAAAGTGCCGGGCACAGGAGCTGGCATGGCATGGAGTTAATGTTTCCCTCCCTTCTAGCTAAAGTCACAGATGCCAGTAAAGATTTTCACTATGCGTAACCACAGCCCTGCTGGAAACAGCGAACCTACATAAATACAATTAACAGCTTTTTCTGCATTGTGGCAGAGGCTCACATAGAGAGAGTCACCATGGCAGCTGCCACTGATACTGGAGGCTGCATCTCAACAACAGCAGTATATTAATAATGTCATGTTTCTCCACATTACCTCCCACACTTCATTTGGCCCTTATGTTACCCCGAGCAGGCGAGCATTATTACTGTACAGAGGGGGACCTCAAACCTTACAGGGGTCAAATGACTATCCTGAGGTTTAATGTGATAGCTTTAATGTGATAGAGCTGGATTTGAACCCCATCTGACCTTGAGAACAGCAGCTCGTCTGAGCTGTGTTGGCCTCTAGATAAAACATGGATCCACCAGTCCTTCAGAATGGTTCTGGGTTCCATTTCCCCCAAGCTCAGCCTCCTTCCTACGTTAGACGCCTGACGGAGCTGTAGAAGACTGTCTTCCCTTCCCTGGCCTCCACTGGCGTCAGAGCGCACTGGTAACACCTGTATCTCTTCCCCAGATTTAGTGATGAAGGGATGGAGGTGATCGAGCGGCTCATCTACCTATATCACAAGTTCCATCAGCTAAAGGTCAGCAATGAGGAGTACGCTTGCATGAAAGCAATTAACTTCTTAAATCAAGGTGAGTGGCTTGGGAGATGGGAAGAAGGGACTTAATTTTTCATTTTAATTTTTTGCCAGTGAGCATCTGCCCTCCTGTTTCGTGCCCCCCTTTATCCTCAGGACTGTCCCACAGAATCTGACACAGCATGTGGGGACCAGCCTTGGAAGGCCTGTGCTCCCCTCACCGTCATCCTACAGGGCATGCCGTGGATGTTGTCTTCAAACCTAAATGCCACAGTCTCTATAACTCATAGCAGAAGGAAGAGGATTCGCTTTGTTTAGTTAGTTTCAGTGCATTTAAACGCAGACACCAAGGACAGTACATGCGTCATTTAAATTATGTACCAAGTTTACCAGTGACTGAAGAAGAGCAGAGTGACTGATGAAGCTGTTGGAGATAAGGCCTCTGCAACAGGCTGACAGTGGTTCTGACGGGCCCCTTCAGGGCAGAGTGGGGGTGCACAAAAACGCACACATGCATATCAAACATGGCTTTTCATTAGAAGAGTGCTGGATGTGATTGGTGTGGAGTATTACCTGCAAAGTGGTGCTTGGTAGCTGCTGGTAGCCAGAGTATGGAGAATTTCTATTATTTTTTTGTCAAAGTAGCATATGAGTGCTCTGCTCTGAGTGGACCTGGGCAGGTTTGCTGCCTGTGGTATTAAAAGTGCTCTGTTTCCGTATTCCGTTGCCCAGTCCAGAGACTCTGGGTCCCCTCGTCTGTGCCCACACTGGCCAAACCTCCTCCTGCTGCTTCGGCACCATTCATGCATTTATCTGGTGTTCTGTGTGCCTCCCCTAGGCCAGGCCCTGTGGTGGGCATGAAAGACATTGAAAAATAAATTAGATCTCAGGTCCCTGGCCTCAAGAAATATACTGTGATGGCACATGACACATTACTTGAGTTTCAGATATAAGGAGATATCAGTAGCAGCCACTTGGAGGAGAAATCTAAGCAGGGCCTGAAAGCCTGGGTAAGATTTATATGTAGAATATCTATATTCTATATATAAAAAAGGGGTAAGGGGTGTGTGTGTGTGTGTGTGTGTGTGTGTGTGTGTAAAAATAGAACAGAAGTCTGTAGAAAAAACTAGAGTGACATCCCAGATGAGCAGAAACACCAGAGATCATGTGTGAAGACTCATGTACTCGTATGTACAAGCGTGAATGCGTAGGTATCAGCAAGGTTTCTGATGGGCTCCGGCAAAGTGCAAATTTAAAGATACTGTGAAGGATAAATTAAGAAAGGTAGATTATTCAGTCAGTTGTTCAACATCTACAGTGCTTTGTTTTGTGCCAAGCCCTGTGTTGGGAGCCAGGGGTGAAGTTGAAAAATATAGCCTGACCCTCAAAGGGCTCAGTCTAGTGATTTCCCTCTATGACTTTTTCCTTCTTCATCTGATTTCTCTTCCCTTGTCCAGAACTTTGTTCCTCCATGCCAGAAAGAGAAAAGATCTCCTGTTGTGACAACATTTAATAACTTTTCATTGGAAGATGCACCTATTCAAGGAGTTGGTGTTTCTTCCATGTTAGAAACCCTCCCATTTCCCGTGTGGTTTTCTTCACAGATATCAGGGGTCTGGCCAGTGCCTCCCAGCTGGAGCAGCTGAACAAGCGATATTGGTACATTTGCCAGGATTTCACTGAATATAAATATACACATCAGCCGAACCGCTTTCCTGACCTCATGATGTGCTTACCTGAGATTCGATATATTGCAGGTAACATTCTGGGCGCTGGGCTCCCAACGCTTCCTTGCTTCTGTTAGCTTGTGAAGAGAATGAGGCAAGCAATGTTTTCAGGATACTCCAGGTCCATCCCTTACCCCCTCAGAAAAGTTATAACGAGAAGTTTGTGTTTTCTTTGTAGGGAAGAGAATCTAACATTTCCTCAGCACCTGTGATGTGCAGGGTACTTTATGGCCTTACGTCATTTAATCTCAGAGCAATCCCCGCATGGCTGGTGGTTGGTGATATTATGGCCAGTCTATGGCTGGGAAAACAGGCTCAGAATTTCTCAAATTAGCTTCATTTCCTGAATTGTATACTGTAAAAGGGTGGATTTTATGATATGTGAATTGTATCTCAATTTTAAAAATTAACTTCATAGAATTGCCTATAGGTTTTTGGGGCTCATTCATGTAAAGCAATATCTTTAAAATAATTCTCAAAAATCCTGTTTGCAAAAGAATTTTTGTTGTTGTTTTTGTGGTCTTAACCCCCTTCTGAGCTTCTTGACATTTATATAGGTCCATTTAAATATCAAATCCTGGCTTTAGTTGTTACTGCTTTACTTCATTTGGGAAAGATTCTTATTTATAGTTGTTCAGCACATACTGAGGAGCAGCTCAGAAATGTGACCTCTAGACTTTGAGGTCGTTCCTGTCAAATTCAGCAATACAATTTTGAAGGAAAAAATTTTCAATATGACCAAGGAATTTTTGTTCTACTTTTTGGGCCTGGGGTAATCTAGCAGATGTGAACTGGACCTAAACTATTGGAATTTGGAGGGTGTTCTGATATTCAAGTCTCAGAATTTTCAAAACTATGTTCTACCAAATGAGATATTAATCAGGTGCTCTCTGAAATAAAGGGAAGTTAGTAATTATGTTCCACTCTCCCCCACAGAGCTGGGTTCTCACCCCTGGCAACGCTTTGAATCACCTGGGAAGCATTTAAAAAATATCCGTGCTTGGGTTGCACCTCCAGAGATTGTGATTTCATTGGTATGGCGTGGGGCCTGGGCATCAGTATTTCCTTTTTAAAACTCCCCAGGTGGCTCTAAGGGAGCCAGGGAGAGCCACAGCCTCAGGTGTTTACAGAGGATATTAGCACCGTTACTGCTCAGGAGAAGTCTTCCAATAAAGAAACCTGCATACCTGTTTCAACCCTGAATTTCTCAGTTTATTTGCCCCTGTGACACCCCCACCTCCTTTTTTCTCTCAGTACATTTATTAGCCCATTATACTACTCTGAAGAGCAATGTTTTATAGAATGCTAGTTAGAGAATCTACCAGGAAAAAGAAGAAAACAGGACCTAAGTTTCTCATGGAATTTTAGCTCTAACAGGGCATCTAGGAATACCTCTCAGTTTCAGATTCCTCATCTGTAAAATGGGGATACAAAGTAATATCTATCAGACAGAAATATTGTGAGAATGAAATGAGATGATGCATTTAAACACCTAGCACAGCGTAAGTATTCCCTGAATAGTAACAATGTTTATAGCTTGTACCATTGCTAGACTCCCTAGGGCACCAGAATGGGCCTGGGTACCAGGACGTTAGCGCAGTGTGTCTGACCTCTGGGATACCCCCCGCACTTTCCTGGCCCCAGTCACTCAAGAAAGCAACATTCTCCCGTCACCAGCCCCAGAGCCAGCCACACAAGCGCCTTCACTAGCAGCCACTGCTAACTTTTCTTTTCCCGCCTCGTTCCCAGGAAAAATGGTGAATGTACCCTTGGAGCAGCTGCCCCTCCTCTTTAAGGTGGTGCTGCATTCCTGCAAGACAAGTGTGGGCAAAGAATGACCTGTTCCCAGCGCCCCTGGGGCATCCTAAGAGCCCTGGGTGGGCAGGACAGTCTCCAGAAGGAAGAGCCAGAGAGACCAACGAGGAGGCTGTGGAGCAGCGTTTCCAGTCGCCTCCATAGCAAGAAGAGTGTTTGTTTGTTTGTTCGTTTGTTTGTCTTTTTTTAAGCTCATTTTTCTATATATTTATTTCACGACAGAGTTGAATGTATGGCCTTCAACACGATGCACATGCTTTTGTGTGAATGCAGCCGATGCATTTCCTTGCAGTTTACAGAATGTGAAGATGTTTAATGTTACAGTGTTGTCATTGTTTAGAGATAGTTCTTTTGTATTTTGAGGGAGGGTGGGATGGGGCTGAGATGACTATTTCCGTAATGTTGACAAAGATGACTACCTCAGTGGAAAGGGAGGGGTGTGGCCATCCTTACTTTTTCCACATGTTCTCAGCAGACTCACACATTTGTCTGTCAGAGAGCAAACTGCCTTTTTCTAGCCACAGAATTGCCAGGTAAAAGCACACACCATAGAAGGGCAAAGTGATGTTTGGAGGTTTCCTGAGCAAAGTAGGTGACACAGTGGGAAGAGGGCAGGAGATGAGGCGTGACACCGTCTCTTCTTTGGAAAGCATGAAAGTTGAGAGAGTGGGGCACCGTGACCAAATCTAAGTGAGGTGTCCTCAGGAAGAAGGGTTTCTGTTCTCACACCATATGCTATGGAACCCCCTCCCCACCATCTGAACCACCACTGTCAGTTTCTGCCACTGTCACCTTTTCGTCCAGCCAGAGTCCTGGCAGTAAGGTGATCCTTGGGACGTGCCTGCCAAGTCCCGTGGGGCTCACAGCTCCCGAGTTTCTTTACGTGGATCTACCTGCCTTAGCCTCCTCGGCTCTCCCTTACAAATGACTTCCTATGGGCCCTCTGACAAAACAACTGAACAAAATGTCATGCTCTGAATCCTGGTGCCCTCCACTGATTTATTCTCCTTTTACCTCATTCTCTTCAAGGAGTAATGAGACAAAGTCCAGACTGCTAAAGTAAAAAAAAGAATAAACACTCCTCCTTTGGAGTTCTGTGTTCCTACCCCACCCCAGGACTGAATCCAAAACCTGCAATCTCGTTCTCAAACAGTGGGAAGGACCACTCATTCATTTGCTGAGCAGAATTTTTGCCCCTACATTCTGCTCCAAGGTCTCCTAATCTCTCTAAAATGAGACCCGGTTTCCTCAGGACAGAAAGCCCAAGGCCCTGAGTATCCGTGGCCTGGCTGACCAAGGCCTGGAGGGCTGGAGTTCCAGGCACCTGGAAGGGAAGAGGGGCTTTAAACTACCTCATGTTCCTACGGGCCTGGCTGCCCCTCTGCAGATGTGGCCTGGACCCCTTGTTCTTTCACTACCTGCCTCCCTTGTCCCGGGAAGTGTCCCTTACCCTCTTGGCTTTGGCCAGCGGCCACACCATGTCTATCTTGGAACTTTTTCAGGTGCTTTCCCCTTCTCGGCCTTACTCTGCTGCGGTTGTCCCTGCCCATAGCTAAGTGTGGGCAAGGTACCTCGCACAGGCAGTGCAGCAGGCAGACCACTTAGAGGGGCACGTCTTAGGAGGGCTTGAGGGACCTGTGCCTGTTTAGTCAGAGGCCATGTGCTCCCTTCCCAGCCCAGCCTAGCAAACATAGCCAGTGGGCCACCACATCGTGTGCAGGCCGGGTAGTCTGTGTTGAATCGTAATGTTTTCTTTCCAGTGAAATGTTACAGGTACCAGCAGAGTGATGGCTTTGTCCCTTGATAGACCTAAAACTCAGAGTCTTACTCCTCAATGCCATTTCCCTAACTGCTCTGAGAAAGAAAGAAGAGATGTGTTCCTCAGGAAAACCTCTAATCAGAATGTTTTTCACATGTCAATGGGAAGATGTGTGTGTGTGTGTGTGTGTGTGTGTGTGTTTATCTCTCAGTTCACAATATTTTTGTTTCCCTGAATGTTTTATTTAACCAACTAGATCGCATTCTTTGGCTATAGGTCAGACTCCGAGCTGCTTTCCTCAATATAGGGAGGAGACACATATCAGAGACCACTTCTCCAAGACGGCTCCTGGGTGCATCATCTTTCTTTGCTTAGACCTCCATCTGTCAGATTATTATTTTTTTTTCAAATGGCTTTTCTCTTAAATTAAGCATTTTTACCGGTTGTGTTTGGATATCAAAGGAAATTGCTCTCTGATGAGGCAAGAACATGTCTCTCCAATAATGCAGCATTAAGCAAGCAAGTTAATTTGTGGGGTGGGGGAAAGGTTCTGCAAGTTGCCATTATACAAATCCGTTTTTACAAATGTTTGCAGCAGATTCCACAGAACAAAGAGCTCATTCATTTCCGAGAGCCCTGCAGAATCTCTGAGCCAAGTGGCCGTGTGTTCTGAGCCGGAGCCTGACCTGTGGGCCGCCTTGAATGTCTCCTGCACCCAGTCCTTTTGTGACGGGCTTTTTTTAAACAGGGTAAAGTGAATGTGTTGCATTGCAAACTCAGGTATTACGCGGAGAAGGTAGGGGTATAGCTAGCAGCGTGGAGACATTAGGTCAGCCACTAGATGTGTTTGTGAATTTGGTTTGAAGGACACAGAGGAAGGTTGGAGGGGGAGGTTCGGTGTGTTTGTTTTTGCCTTTCTTCCCATACTGTTTGGTTAACAGGTAGCCTTTTTGCTAGTGGAAGAAGAAGTTGTGCATGTGGTCTCAATTCCCTCTCTTCTGTCCTCTCTCTGGTCCCCTACCACCAATAGCACTCGCTTTGAATGAGTTTTCCCACCATAAACATATGACCCTGAAAGCTGTGTGGTCAAGGAGAATCTCACCTTCTTGCACTGCACTGAAACATACAAACTTTCCCCTTCCTTTCCCTTTTCTTGACCTAAGACAAAAGTTTGGAATCTTGGAACTTCCCCTACGACTTATGCTCTCTTGCTCCAGTGTAAGACTATTGGAGTCTTTCACAAGGTTGGTAGTGTGGAGAAACTCCCCAGAACCTGCCTCAAAGCACTCCACCTGGCTCAGGACACCCGGCCCCATGCCCAACCCATGAGTGAGATGGGAGAACCTCTAGAGATAGAAGGCAGCAGGCAGGAACCTCCCTGTCCTGTTCTTCAGAGCCAGGAGGGATAGGGGTCTCCATGGCACACTGACAGTCACCCACCCCACACCAACCTGCCTCTTATCTGCCGCTCCTTGTCAAGAAAGTGAGCACCTGCCATGGCCAATATGTCGCCAGGTCCTTAAAACCTTGGGCTCTCTGAGCTAGCTGCCTTGCTCTACCACCCATTTCTTACCTTAGTGTGTTTGATCCTGATTTCCTGGGGACTGGGCCAGATGGAGACAGATAAGCCCAGTGTGGGCAACATCTAAGCCATGTTCAAGTTTGGCCAAAGTCAAGGCCCTGGCCTCCCAGTGGGAAAGGAAGTTGAGCAGTGGTTCCAAGTCTTTCGCTCTGGCTTCTGATCTGGCTTTTTTCCCTGTTGCTTTTTTAAATTTTGCAATTGTTTTGAGAAATCCAGTCTTATAGACCAGCCTTTTTATTTTCTTTATTGATTTTTTTAAGTAAAAAAAACAAAACAAAAAAAACAAAAACAGAAAACTAAACAAAAAAACCATTGCCCTTACCGCCCCCGACTTGATCTGTGAGCGCCCCCCTGCGTGCCCCTCTGCCTTTGCCGTTGATCATTCCTCCCTTTCCCCTCGGCTTGAAGCATCTATGTCCAGTGTCTGTGAAATGATGTTTTATCTGTGTCTCAGGATGAGAAACGGCAATCATTCCACCAGGTGCTGGAAACTGGTTAGCCTTGAGGCAAGGGTTTCTAGGGCCACAGCTCAGGGATGTGTATTTAATTACAGGGTCCCCAGAAACCCCTCTCTTGGCTTCCACAAGCAACCACTTCTTTTCTGGGCTCAGGAGCCAGACCTCGACTGTTCGCTCAGAGGCAGGGCCCCAGCCTGGGAGCGAGCTCGGGCGTCCTCTGGCCAGACCTGGGCTACCTTGAGACTTGAAGACTTCTGGCTGCCCGGGGACGTGAGCCGCAGCGGCCCTGCCTCCACCAGCTGGTAAAATTCCTGGCGCCTCTGCCCAGACCAGTCCCTATCTGGCCTGCCTCCCCTAGGCCTGCAGCCCTAAATGGGCCACAGCCTACTCAGGAATCAATCGCAGGCTCAAAGGGGAGCTGAGAGTCAGGCCAGAGCTTGCTCCTAGCCCAAGAAAAAAGTTGTTACTGGTGGAGGCTAGTCTTCCAAATCCTGGAGCCAGCCCTGCCAGCCAAAGGATCATTTTTGCCCTTTGGTGACCATTGTTTTCTTTCTCTGAAATGTCTTATAATAGGCGATAATGTTGACTCAAATTTCCATGAAAAAAAAAAAAAACTACCTCTTGAGTGACATCCTGGTGATTCCTCTCTGAGAAATCCTGTGGGAAAAGAAGACTGTAGCCTCTGCTCTGTTTACATGTTTCTGTCGGGAAAGAAGCCCTGCCTGCCCTGGGGTGTTGGTGTTTTTGTCTGTGTTGCCATCCCAGGCCTGTGATAGGGGCTTGTGGGTGCGTTGTAATGTCTGGGCCGCGTCTGGGGAGTCCTTCACACCTGCCTGGCCAGGGACTAGCCATCCCCTTCAAGAGGCCTCTGTTTCCTTCCTATGAGCCAAGGCACAGGAAACACCGCCTTCCACTCCCCCAGGCGCTCTGGTGGCACATGCATCCATGAGCCTACCCCTGGGCTACCTACCTTAGGTCCACCTCTCCCCACAGTCCTGTGTAGGAATCCAGGAGACGGGATGTCTCTGAGCCCTTGTCTTCAAAGGGCCGGCCAAGGGCTGCCTGCCAGCCTGGCTCCATCAACCCTGCATGACCAAATGATAGTTGGCGGGCTCTGCAGGCTACCCAGGCCCTCTGCTACCTCCCACCCTGCCAGCTGGCAAGGGATGGGCCCTTTTCTGTGAATTGACTACCTGTGGAAATGTGACCAATTAGTGTGAAATGCATGTTTAGAAAATGTTAGGTACTGTATTTGAACCAATAAATGTGAATCCTTCTGCACATGGCATCTGTCTGTGATGCTTTTCTGGGGTGGGACGATGGGGTGTCCTGAGGAGGTGGCTGGCGCTTTCAGGTCTGTTGCTCCTGCTTGTTGTAGCTGACACCCACCCAATTCCGATTGCTGGGAGCCTGGCAGAGGGATATGTCTTTAGAACTGCTTGAATTAATGAACCAGCGCTGACCGAGGTGCCTGCTCTGTGTCTGGCACTATGTTGGGACTTTCCACAAA